CAGCAGGATGGAGCGTCGCAGGCCGGGGGAGCCCCCAAGCTGTGCTTGGCTTGGCAGGGGATGCTTCTGCTGAAGAACAGCAACTTCCCGTCCAATATGCATCTGCTTCAGGGGGACCTCAGCGTTGCCAGCAGTCTCCTCGTGGAGGGAGCAACTGGTGGGAAAGTAGCTCAGCTCAAGATCACCCAACGTCTTCGTCTGGACCAGCCCAAGCTGGACGAGGTCAATCGTCGCATCAAAGTGGCGGGTCCCAACGGCTACGCCATTCTTTTGGCTGTGCCTGGCGCATCAGACAACCGCTCAGCAGCTGGAGCTGCCGAGGCCGCTACCACCTCCACCCAGAGGCCACTCAGGAATCTGGTGTCCTATCTAAAGCAAAAGCAGGCTGCTGGGGTGATCAGCCTCCCTGTGGGGGGTAACAAAGACAAGGAGAACAGCGGGGTCCTGCACGCCTTTCCGCCCTGCGATTTCTCCCAGCAATTCCTGGACTCCACGGCCAAGGCGTTGGCCAAATCAGAGGACGACTATCTGGTCATGATCATTGTCCGTGGGGCGTCCTAAGGCCCTCATGTTCTCTGTACCCAACCCTGCCTACTCCTCCACACAGCCCCTCCAGCGTGTGCCAGGTGCTATGGGATACAGCCTTAGCCAGCCCTGTCATTATTTTAAATTAGATCTTTGTTTGTAGGTGACTTTCCCTGCCCGTTTTTCTGTTACTACATTTTTCTATAAAGTTAGAAGCCAGAAAGGTTGGTTAGCCGTTAGCGTGAATAGGATATTTTGAGAATCCCCTGTCAGTGGGGATAGCAGGGAGGCTAGGCCTGCTTTGATTTACAAAAAAAAAAAAAAAGAAAAAAAAAAAAGGAAAAAAAAAAAGAGGAAAAAAAAAAAATGGGGGAGGGGGGGAAAGAACAAACTCCCGTCTTCTTAATTTTGATTCGTGTCCTTTTTTCATTTCATGTATTTTAAAGCAAGTTCAATAGCTCATCCTCGATAGAGTTACAAACCTAAAAGACCAGATTTAAAGCACTCAGTAGTTTAAATGGAAAACCACATACTTACTAGCGGACTGGTGTCAGCTCATTTTTTTTGAGTCCTTGAAATTCTGTGACGGCCTCGGGCCAGCGGCCCTTTGGCACGCGCGATCCCTTTCCTCAGGAGCCTGAATGGTTTCCCTTTGGGTTGCATGGCTCAAGGTTGATGTCTTTCAGGTGACCAGCACCTGCTCTCGGGTACACTGCAGAACATTTAATTCCTTTATTGGGCGTTTGATAATTTCATCCAGCCCCTCGAAATGCATGCACTGAAAGTATGCTTTTTTAACAGGTGTATTTCTCCTATTTCTCTCAGTTCTGTTGTATCCCATATATGCACTTTGGGTTTGTAGCAGTGACAATGTTTGGTAAATAGCTGAGGACTTTGTTACAAACCATGAATGTCTTGTGCTTACTCTGGTATGCAAGAAACAAGGAGGTGCTTTAAGAATAACTTTAGTTATATTGTGGTTTTTTGTTTTTACTGCCTTTTTTCAAAGAGTTGCAGGTACAGTGGGGTCTGGTTCCACAGTGCAAACTCTGAGCAAGTGTGCTTCTCTCCAGAGATGGTTTTAATTCTGTGATAATTTAATTACATAAAAGTTCTCATTAACATTTTACCTCTTTGTTAATAGCAAGAAACTGCTGTCTGCTAGGGACTTTTCAGGTACAGTACAGTGGGCATTACATGAGGTTTATCATTTTATAGGCATCTGGAGTAAAGTGTTTTTAGCATCCTGGAGAAGTATTAAAAGTACTCTGAGATGCTGAGGTTTGAGCTCTTGTTCCTGTGATTCTAGGAGGAAAGAGTTTGCTTTTTTTCAAAGAACTTAGTTCATTTTCTCTTAACGTGTTTTCCCCACTCCTTGGGCACTTTTCTCCAGCTGTCTTGGCCACCTTTGCTAATACAGGCATTTAGGAGGGAAGAAGGGATCTAAATCCCTGTTGTTTTGTTTAACAACCGAAAGGATGTTGCAGCTAGCTTCTAAACGGAAGTGTAAATCTGACTGTATCTATTTACAGGCCCCAAAAATGTAATCTTGCACTTAAACCCAGAATGTAGTCTTGCACTTAGCCACGTTTTCAGAGACTTGGGCAATGTAAAAGCGATGCTGCTTCACCCAGTCGATCCTCCGCTATATTCCTTGGGCAGTTGATACAGGGACAAGTTGATTTCTTTTTCAACTTGCACGATACAAAAATCGAGTTCAAAATGCGGAATAGTACATGAAGGAGGAAATGTCTTGAATGTATTTTATGGGCACAGCAGTTCTGAAGTGTGACAGTACTTGCTTGAGATTTGCTGTCACAAAAATATGAATTTCTGTAATACCGCTTTGCTGAACCACTCGTCAGAGAGTGCTTTGGTTTAAGTGGGTTTTGATTTCCTTTATCTGACGGGAATGAGTACACGTAGTATCCCGAGCATCGCGGTGAACTGATAACTTGAATGTGGCAGCATATCTTGAAAACAGGTTTTGGTTTTATAGCTACTTTTCTTTCTAAATGGAAACTTACAGGCCTCATTTAATGCTCTTAAATGTTTGAGGGTAAAATCCAGGATTTCTGGGTTGTTGTCCTTCAGCGTGAATGTGATAGACTTAGATGGCAGAATTCAGCTGTTCATCTTACTATTAACAAGGAGAATTTTTCGAAATGACACCGATAACGCAAATAACTGTATGTTTTAGAAGACACAGCGTATTTACCACTTATTGCAAAGAATGTCTGTTTTAATTCTAGCAGGTGTCTGTTGTGTGTCAGCAGGTAATCAACACTTGACGTGCTGCTTGCATTTAGAGTGAGTTTTCTCGTTGCATCTGACAGGAGTCACTCGCAAGCGCAGAGTTTTAAAGGAAAGAAACCTGAACATCAAATCTGCCCTAAACCAAAAAAAAGAAGCACTAACGTTGTTTGTGTTCAACACTTAAACTTGCTGAGAACAGTGTTTGTTACCCTGATACGCAGAAGGCACCTGCTTTTAAAACCCATAAAACTTGGGGTCAACATAGCTTGTCAAAGCAAACTCAGTGTGGGAACCCTTTTGGAAAGAGCATCCTAGGTGCACTTCCATTTTTCCTTGTAAAATAGCGGTGGTTATACCTGCCGCGGGCTTTTATGAGTCAAAATTGTGCTGCGCTGGAGGGTAATAAGGAACAGGCAAGGCTGTATTTGACTCCAGGTTTTCTGGTTCCTTATTTAATGGAGTACCTGCTTCTTTAAATCTGGTTTATTTGTGGTTGCTGCTCTGTTTTGTAAGCAAGGATTTTTAACACCCTTTGAGGGTTCTTAATGTCAAAACATAGTTGACTGGCAACATTTTTTTTGCCGGCACTTAAGTTCACATGCTGCCATCAAGGCTGGTACAGCTTGGTCGGCTGTGCTTTTCTCTTAGGCTCTGAAGTGTGCACCATTGGAGTAACTGTCCACTAAAAGTCGTCTTGGCCAGGGCGGAATGCGAGTAGAAGTCCGTATGTAATACCACTTCTGTATAGAGCAAAACAGATGTAGCAGACTTTAGCGCTCTTGTTGTGTTTGGCATTCTGTTGCTCTAGCGAGAGCTCGGTATTTCTTCTAACGTTGTGTGCAGCTGATGTTCCTATATTTCATTAGTTTGTTGAATTAGCGTGGAAAAAGGATGTCCTTTTCCTGAATCATTTCATAGTTGTGTTTTATGCTTTGGGGAAAGAACCTCAAATGACTCATACTTTTGTTTAAAATTTTAGCGTTTTTTTTAATTGGAAACTTTACGCAACTTCCTTGGCTGCCGGCCAGGGGCTTTGTTTGCTCCCGTCTAGTGACCGCTCTGCTGTTCACTGGGACTGAGGTTACCCTCAACTCCAGAGGTTTCAGGTTCCTGGGTTACAAGTACCGACGCGTCCTTGTAAGCATCCTAGAGAGAGGAGGGCGTTACGTGCCAGGCAGACAAATCTTACCCTCTCTCTTTTTTCCTTTTTTTTTTTTTTTTTTTTTACAAGGATGTTAAAGGATTGAAATGTTTTGGTGGCAACTTGCTCAGCCCCCTGTGGAGGGCGGAGGAGAGAGTTTTAGATGTCTTGCATTCGTTGGGGAACCGTCTGGTTGATGGTAACTGAGGTGAAAGGCCTTAAGTATTAACGGGGAGGAGGAGTGAATCAAAATTGTGAAGACAGGTTCAAAAACTCTGAGGACTCAGGGAAAAATGGCTTGGAAAATTGTAGTTCCTGGCTTTAAGAAAAACAGTGTTGAGGGCAGTACTCCGGGGGAGTCTGCTGTATGCCTGTTGAACAGAAACAAGAGTGGAAGAAGTTATTGCCATCTGACTAGAGAGCTTTTGGGGTTCTTTCCCTTTTGTCTCCCCCTTTATTACTTTCTGCAGATAGCACCGAAGGACAGATATTCCAATGATTTATAAACTGAATGATGAGATGATTTTTGTATTAGGCTTAAAGCAGGCCATGTGGTTCAGAGAATGGTTAATTGAATATTCAACTTCATGCAGTTTTGATTGTGTGAAAATGATGCATGAGAAATACTACTTGAATAGTAACAATTTTAAATTATATTAGGTGTGTCTTTGATTTGACCTTTTCTTTAATATTGGAGTTGTCTGCTGATAAAATTACGCCGCAAAATGAGAACAAAAGAGAAACGTGTAACACTACATTTCATGTTTTTGTTGATAAGTTGCCTTCAGGAAATATTCTTTGAGGAAAGTCAACCGAATTACCAATAATTCAGTTGGTTTTTCTCATGGTTAGTTATTTTGATGTGTCCCATTAACTGTTACTGAAAGTTGAATAATCATCAGTACTGTAAGCCTAGTTTAACCTTGGTCCAAAAAGAAGCCCTGCACTACTTGTTATGCATCTATACATAGAAGGTGACTTCATTTCAAGGTTTCGTGCCCGTGGGTGGTATTGGTGCTTTTTGAAGTCCAAGTAGAATATTCAGAAAGGCCTTGTAGCTCTTTATGTTCATCTGTATAATGTAGGGAGGGGAAAAAAAATCTGTTGTATACATTTGTATTGAAATAACATTTTCTTTCCTCCTGCAAGCAAAGCTGGTGGACTGCAGAAGACAAGCGCATGGGATACCAAGCTCTAATGGACCTTTGGGAAGAGAAGCTGTGGCTTGTGTGGAATTTACATGGGCCTCTTGATGGAAGAAAGCTTATCTGTTTAGTATTTGTGCATTTTACTAAAATGGCAGCTTTAAAAAAAAAAAAAGTTGTGTATCTGCTATTGTGATGCCAATGCCCGTGTTTTAAGTGGAAAAAAAAATGACCTCTTTGCTTTGTGCTGTGTACACAAGATTGCTGGAAAAGTAAAGGAATACCCTTTTTATGGCTCACACAGCTTAAAAGTAGCTGTCACTCAAACATGCGCTCACAGTTGAGCTGATTTTGTTTCATTCTAAATAAATTGTTTCTTTTGAGGAAAATGGTTTTTCTGCCTGGAAGTGAATTGACGACAAACGTTTGACCCCTTTGTTTGCAGCGGAGGGGTTACTTGCTGCTGCTGCTCAATGTTTGATCTGATAGTTGTGGGTCTTGAGCAAGAAGCAGGGAGACCGACACTTTCGCGTTGACCGGCCTGTTGTACCAAATCTGAAGAAATCTAGTTGATTGCCTTGCTGTGGCACCCCCTTTGTTTGCAGTGAAAAAGGGGGTCACTTGCTGCTTTACTCCTCACCTTGACGAGGAAGCGGTGCTGATGCTGGCATGCAAGAAGCAGGGAAGCACCACCCTGCGTCTCAGAACGGTGTACAAGTCTGGGGCTTCGCTGGTTTGAAGAGCTGGAGTTCCTGAATTTTAAGTTTCTGATTTA